AAAAATTATCAAAATTTGACTAGTGATTGTTGAGGTTAGTCGGGATTGAAAACGGAAATGAGATCTCAGTTATTAATTTAACTGACGAATGAACAAACTAAAACATGGTGCATAGCGTTTTTAGAAAGTGCTTAATTTCCCTTTTCGAAGATGAGATTTTTTTTCTTTACCATGTCGATTTTCGCAAATTATGATTTCGCATATTATGCGAAAGCGTGGTTTTCACAATTCATTCAACCACAATCCATTACGGTGTACTGTTGGTCCATAGCGTATAAAACCGCCAATCATTTTACTTGTTTGATGAAATACTTGCTGGACTGCATGTGCGTCTACTGAGCTGGGTTCGGTGAGATTCTTGCACTCTCATGTACAACTTTGTTGCATTTTGCTAGATATTCTCAATTCCATGCTTCATTTTCCTCCTTCTGAAATCGCACCAAAAAATCTCTCATTCTTTTTATGGTGGCTAATGTAATCTTTGTCAGAAACTGATTATTTTATCACGATCATGTAAAGTCTTTGAAAATTATTTTGCTGTTTGTTAATGTATATAGTGCTTAAAAATATTTTTTGAGTGCTTGAAAAGTACTTAAAAGGTGCTTATTTTTTGTTGAAAGATTTGGCTACGCACTTTGTAAAATACATTTTTAGTTTTTGTCTTTCATTTTAATCCGATAGTCAAACTGGTTTTGACGATTTTAAATCCCCTTTTGCTCAATCGATTATTTCATTTGCAATTTCATTCTAAAACAATTCCGTGTTATTCTTCAGTACTCTATTAAAGATTTGTTTTTAATAATAATTTTTAATTATGTTCCAAAACAATCTTATGTTATTCTTCAGTACTTAATTAAAGAGTCATTTTTGATTATATTCTAAAACAATCTTATGTAATTCTTCAGTACTTAATAGAAAAGTCATTTTAAATTATATTCTAAAACAATCTTATATTACTTTTCAGTACTTAATTGAAGAGTCATTTTTAATTATGTTCTAAAACAATCTTATATTATTCTTCAGTACCTAATGATAGACTCATTAGTAATTAGATTCTACGAAAATTTAATGTTAATCTTCAGTACTTAATTGAAGAGTCATTTTTAATTATATTCTAAAACAATCTTATATTATTCTTTAGTACTCTATTAAAGAGTATTTTAAAATACGTAAAAAAAAGTTTAATCAGTTTAAGCTCAAGTTTGAAGAAGTATAGTAAAATATTCAGGGTATTTACCTGTAATGCTCATTATATCAAATTATGGTTTTTCATTGTATTGTTTGAATCTCGTTCATTTTAAAATATATGCAATCAAAATTTTCAATTATAAATGACCTTGGGAATTTGAGGTCATTCAGGGCACACGTGATGCATTTTCCACCATGATTTATATAAAATTGACCCATAAAGGGAAAGTGTCGTGAGTGATTGTGTAACAATTTGAATGAAGCGTTTAAGTATGATGATTAGCAAAACCCATAAGTCAATTTTCGATTTGAATTTATTCGACATTCGTTTTTTTGATCTAATCATTGATAATAATAATCCTTATTCAATTTCATTGCAAAAAAAAAATGTACGGTAATGATCTTTCCTATCATATCTGTCTTATTGAGAAGGCCATTCTAAGAAATAAATATATTAGAGCATGCTGAGAGCCTGACTAAGGCAGGGGAATACGGGGCATATGCCCCGGGTCCCCACATCACACTTTCTATTCCCGAATCGAATAGAAAGTTTATTTTACTTTTCCTTCTTCATTGAACTTGTTCAGTACAGTGTAAAATCCGTCAGTTTTTTGTTGGCTTCTTCATTAATCTATCTTATGAACACAAAAGAATCTTCCGTAAATCCATGGCTTTCTAGGGTGGAATTGAGCTAAATTTTCGCAATTACAATGGACAAATTCGGCCAGTGAAAAGCCTGTATTTTTACATATCACAAAATGCGATATGTTTACAAGGATACGTGCTTCTGATTGGCTTAATCGAGTTATCGCGTAATTGCGAAAATATAGCTCAATTCCGCCCTTATGTCAGAAAGGATATCGCAGGCAGATGACTAAGTTCAATCAGAAAACTGCATTTCGGAAACTGCCTTCGCATGATGGACATAAAATTGTCAGAAAATCAATAAAATGGACAGAACGATCTTTCGCCTGATGATTGGAGGTGAGGGGGGGGGCTTTATAGCTAATTTAGGTTCTAGTTATATATTCTAAGTTCTTGTTTCATATCTATATTTAAATATTTGATTTAAATATTGGTGAAATATTTAAGTACCTACATAAAGTTTGGTTCTTCATAACTGATGCAGAGGGGGTCCCAGAAATCAGTTCAAAACTTTTTTTGTTATAAAATGCTCAGTTTATTTTTATTCAGAACACTCTTTTTTAAATGAATTAAAAAATTTTTTTTAACTATCTTTGATGAATTGGATGCTTTTTAATATTCGAAATTATGACTATACATAATGCATAAAATTTCAAGTGTGTTTAATGTCTATCATAACTGGAAAATATTGCAGTTTTTTCAATTTTGATGACTATTAAAATCCGCGTGTGCATCGACTGAGCTGCGTTCGGTGAGATTATTGCACTCGCATGTGCAACTCTGCTGTATTTTGCAAGATATTCTCCATTTCAGGCTTCATTTTCAACCCTCTGATATCACACCGAAATATCTCTCGATCTTTTCATAGTGGCTAATATAATCAAGAAAAAAGTTCTTTGTCGGAAACTAGTTATTTTATCATCATCATGTAAAGTCTTTGAAAATTATTTTGCATTTTGTTAACGTATATAGTGCTTAGAAATATTTTTGAGTGCTTAAAAGGTACTTTTTTTTTGTTGAAAGATTTGGCTACGCACCCTGCTTATATGCTTTTTTTTATGATGCAATTCATAAATTCCCTCATTTTTTGTTCTTTCAATTTTAGAGAATCATGAAAACTGAAACGATGACCTGGTTTGAAAAGATGGATTTTTAGTCGCAAATGGATATAAATAATAAGGTTAATGTTTGCCAGACTGTCTCCCTCAAATGTGTTATTCATCCAATAATGAGTCTCTCATCAAATTATATACTTTGTATCTCTAAAATTCAATAACAAACAACTAAAAAAGGGGGAGAGGAAATATAAATCCGACGGTAATGAGGCAAAACAGACGAGAAAGTCGTATTCGACAACCCCCGACATGTCACATTTATTTTAATGCTCTCATATATCCTGTCTGGAACTGGAGCTTGAAAATACATTTTGATAGAGGGTCACATCGAAACGTCTCCACCAAACAAAACGAGCTTTATTTTTTTTAAATAAAATAAAATAAAAATTAGTTTTATTAATCGGCAAGAAAGGCATTATTTTATATTTATTTTTTACAAGCATACTGATAGAGGGGATAGAGCGTTCACCTTCCACTGAGATGAACCGGGTTCGAATCCCAGCGATGGCTAATCGATACGAATCCGCCTCCGGCTTGCACCGACCACAGTGCTAACGGGAAATATCCTCAGTGGTAGACGGATCATGAGTTAGAGCAGGGATGGGCAAACTACGGCCCGCGGGCCAACTGTNAATAAAATAAAATAAAAATTAGGTTTATTAATCGGCAAGAAAGGCATTATTTTATATTTATTTTTTTACAAGCATACTGATAGAGGGGATAGAGCGTTCACCTTCCACTGAGATGAACCAGGTTCGAATCCCAGCGATGGCTGATCGATACGAATCCGCCTCCGGCTTGAATATCCTCAGTGGTAGACGGATCATGGGTTAGAGTCTCCTTGCCGTTAGGCTAACCGTGGGAGGTTCTCGTAATCTTCCTCGCCATGTGACGCAAATGAGGGTTAGTTCCCTCAAAAAGTATCATCCCACGAAGGCAAAAGTTTACCCAATACTTGATCCAGGAGTTCCCTTGTCTTCTGGATTGGGTTCAAAATGACAAGGCTGCATGAGCTGTCGTAAATCCAAAAATTGGGTCCGCTCTTCGACGACGGTTATAAAATAAAATAAAAGTCTGTTAAAACAAGCATATAGGGGTGACATATTTTTTGCCCCCCGTAAAAAAATATTTTTTCTTCTTTTAAGTTTGATAATGCGTCAGACACTTTATGAGACGCAAAATGAATTCTAAAATTAAAACACAACATTAAACGGAATACTGGAAGAAAAAAACCTTTAAATTCAAGACCACTTCTCAGTACTCAATAAAGATTTACACCCGAATCGACAACAATTTAAAACCTCTCTCTAGATATAGACTCTGCAGTGTAATTATATATAATGCTCATAATGTTGGATTCTAGTGGGAACATATAAGAACATTGGTAACATAGATAACTAGTGGAAACATAATTAGAATATCCATATTTTGTAATAATGGTCCTGGATAGGAATGAATCTTGTTCCAATATTGAAAGGTATTGATATCTAGGACCAATATTTAAAAAAATATGTTGATTTTTTACAATTTTCTTTTAAACAAAATAATTGGTAAGCGAAGTGATTAACTGAAAATAAAAATTATGTAAGGGAGTAACAGGAACATATCGTCTATTGATGGATTTGCGTGAAATCCTTCAGTTGAGATGGAGCCTTATTTCCTGAGGCTCCATCTCAGAAATCCCTACTATAAAGTGTTTTTTTTTTTAATACCTAGTGACGAAATGGGTGTTGTTTTGGGTTTGATAGCGTGAGCACCTTATTTGGACGTCATCACACTTTTTAACTACGTATATTCAAGAGTAATAGTAAACAGTGCGCATGCGTCGTCATGACATGCGTTGCTATGACGACCGCTGCTGTTTGATAATTTTTTTAGAATTCTTTTTTTCACTTTTAATTTTGTTATGCATTGAGTTAGTGAGTTTATTTTTGAGATAAGGGACCAGAGAGATCACATAAATAATTATTGAGTTGTGAATAAAAGAGAATTTTATCATTTGAACGATATTTTAGTTATTTTGTTCATAGGCGATCACAATTTTTTTTTTTCGTTCTGTATCGAATACTCTCAATATAGCTTTTTTCAAAAAGCAGCTAACTACCATCAACTACTACAAATAAAGTACGAAATAAAGTAATGTTTACAATAGTTTCGTTATTTATATCAGCGCGTTATTTCCGGCTACTGAATAATACAATCAATCACTCTCAGCCCGGCATGAGTTATTTACGTATCATTCAACAGACTAAAAATACCAATTAGAATTGCGAGGGAATGGATAATGAAAATCTGTTTTGTCAATAAACAATCGGAAGAACATGCTTGAACCGGATATCTAACATAAAGAATAAAAAACATTTGCATGCAGTTAGAAATAGATCAAGTTTTTTCCACAAGAACGATTCAAACATAAAAGTTGTTCGTATAAGCAATAAAATCAAGTAAAAAAAATAATAAGACACCAGTATTTAAAAAACTAAAACTATCATTTCCGTTAATATATCACTCGACCGACTTCTTCTTGAGTTGAAATAAAAAAAAGAACAAAAAAAAAATCAATCGTAAACCTTTCGTGCGTATCGCTTTTGGCGTGATCGAACAAACACGCGAACAAGATAAATAAATTCGGAATTATTGTTTCATCAGCCATTAAGATAATTCAATCCAAATAGCTTTGATCCAAAAAAGAATACTATACCCAAATTTAATTACACTTTCTTTGTTACGTCTCACTGGAGAATCAGAAAAATTATTCTTTTTAGAACCTGAAGATCAGCTGCCACAGATGACATTTCTGTCTTTTTATTTATTTATTTATTTTTTCCTTCCGCAAAAAGGGCGAAAAAGACAATAGCTGCACAAGACCTGTTAAAGAGCCGAAGAAAGGTCAGGATTCTAAATTTCATTGCAGCTCCCAGATGCAAGCATCTCCTTTCGATGCCCGAGGCTTCCTCATAAGGCATTAGTGGTTTTGGTAGACAGAACTGCCAGTTGTGCTCGAGCCTCTCATCCAGCATGGAGCTCTCTTTATCCGCAGAAGGTCAAGGCCAAGTTTAATCGTGTATCGAAGCGGAAATGTGGTAAATTTGTAGGTGAGTGGAGAATTGGTTTCGTTGTTTTTCTAGTAATACATTAAACTTTTGAAGTCATTTTAATTAAATCCTTGGATGAAATGAATGAATTAGTTTATTGACATTGTAATTAATGACTTGAAAAACATTGAATAATTTTAATCTATGAAATTCAATATTCAATTTTAATACAAAATTAAGTTAATCCAATTCTTTTGATCTACCTTAGCAATTTTAATAATAATCAAATTTTTGATTCAACCGAGCTTTACTTTGAAAATTTTTAGTAGCTGAAATTGTTTTACTCAATAAATTGCAGTTCTTTTTTTCCCCCTTTTCTTTTTGTTCCATTTTTGATTGGTATCTTTTTACGTAATTTAAAAAACTATTTTACAACTTCGAAACTTAATTAATACTTATTTTAAAATCCTTCATTGTTTAATTAGTTTTTTTAAATACAATTATATTTTTTATACTTTTGGGAAAACTTTGTTAAGGACAAAACTAATAATTTTAAACCTGCTTATGTCTTGTTCAGTAATTTGTTGATTTATTTTGTACATTTACTGTTTGTTAACTAACTTTCTTTTTAACAGCCTCCGATAAATAGTAATTTTTTTAACAAGGCGTCTTTTTTTTTTAACCGACATACCATTTTTAAGTTCTTTGTTTCTGACAGCTATTAAATATATAACTGCTGCTTTGAAGTTTTTTTTTTATTTACATTTCACATATACTTACTTCTATTAAGTTTAAACTGATATAGATTTTTTTTCGTTTAGTTATTCGATAAATTTAATTAATTTTATTTTCTTGTGTTTACTCTATTTTTTCTATCAAATTCAAATTTACATATCTTTTGAGCGATTTGTTGCAAACTATGATAATACGTGTTTATTTATTGGGTTTTCCCCTATCCCGATATAAACCAGTTTTTAATAGTAATAAGCCTATGTTGTTTTTACAAAAGAAAACGGGATGGGAAGCATAACTAATAATACAGAAATTTCAGTCCACTATTCGGTGATTACATTGACTATTCGCGTTGACGAAACTTACATCTTACTTATTATTCAAGTTGCGATTGTGAATGTCAAGGTTTTATAATTTATGTATTCTGCCAAACATCTTCAAAATATGCAATTAAATTGCTTCAAAATAGGCAATTAAATGTCATTAAAATATGCAAATAAATTGCTTTTGATTGCTTCAATAAAGAAATGGATCTTTCAACGGCTGCTTTATTTAAAGCATCGCCGTTGAATTGTTTATTTTCTTTTTTCGCCATTATTTTCTTGCACGATTCATGCAGAGACCGTTTAAGACAAATTCGGGCCCGAGGACCACCACACTTTCTGGGCCCCTTACAAAATATTTTGAAATTAAATTACTTAAAAGTAGTCCTAACAATAAAAAAGAATCTGTTAAACTGCATGATTCAAGAGAAACATTTTAACAAATTTTGAAAACAGACAGTTGAAGATTATTTTTCTAAGATAAAATTTACGTATCTCTAAATTAAAGCAAAATATAAAACAACAAAACAATGTTATGCCAAAATAAAAATAGTTTGGTGACCACAAACAATTGAAATCAGTGATTTTTGCTAAAAATCACTGATTAACTGAATTATTTTTATTGCAAGCTGTAACTATTTTTTATTTAGTACTTAAACCAACATAAAGCTAGCCTACCTGACGTTAGACTTTTAACAAATTTTTGAGGCCACCCAGAAATTGTGGGCCCCCTAGACCCATGCCTATCGGGCCTAGGCAATTATCAGGCCCTCGATTCATTTATAAAAAATAAAGCGTTCCTTATCACAAATAATGTGAAAAGAAATGCTTTGTTTTGTTAGGAACAGCCAATGAAGGGTCATTTGATATTTTTATTAACTAAAGATACGAACCTTTTTAATCATTTATTCATCGAACTAGTGATAGATTTGCAGTGGCATTACTATTCCACTATTTTGTGTTTAAAGTGTCCCACAGTCGACTTATCTTAAAGACACCGTTCCCAGTAGAACACCGAAGTCAAGCATCACTCGCTGAGGTCAGTAAGTGGGTGGTTGACCACTTTGATCAGCCTGCGTAGGGACCGAGAGTGCGCGGTGTTGGCCCTCATTAAACTGTTCTACAGTAAAGTGTTATACCTCGCTCGCAGGTCGTCGGGCTACCGACGCGGGGGTGCCATCCCCTGTGCAGAGGATCAAAATTGCGATACGATGGCATCTCTTCGGATCATCCTCAGGGATGTCTCCCAGACCGTCGCCAATAGCCCATTGTACAGCTCCAGTATGACGTAAATAAAGTATCTACCTACCTTGTATGTTAAGTTTTTAAAATTGTGTAACCTCACGGTATGATTTGAAATGTCATAATTCATGAACGATGTCATAGTCGCAAATGACACAGAGCACAATTCAAATGTCATAGTTTATGAACGGGAGAAAAAAAATTCTCATAATAAACTAATTGCACTTCCACTTTTTACCTTTTGAGGGCGGTACCGTCAACAAATTTAGAATAAATGTAATTTTTGAAGAAAAGAAAAAAACAAGCAAACATCGAAATCACTTTTTATATGTCTTAACTGTTTTAGCGTTCTAAACTAATAAGTACTTAAATACGATTGTAACAGCAACTATACATATATATTTTTTTTTTTCTTAAATTTTTTAGGTCGAAAAAAGGTACTAATTCTCAAGAAAATAGATACATCTCAGATCATCTGAAATAGATCATAAAATAGATCATTAATTGATCATCATAAAATAGATCATCTGAAAAATGAATATTTCGGTGTTTCGGTTTTTATTACTTTTCATTGACTGACATCATGAGGTATCACAAAAAGCTAATTATTTTAGAGAGATCCGAGCGTAATTATCACCATTTCAGCCTTGTGCTATTATTTTTTCCTCCTTGAAATATATTCCCACTACTTGAATTTCATCCATTTTTAAAGGAGAATCTTTCTCTAATTTCCACTTTCGTCTGCTTATCCTGAGGGATAAAAATGAATAATCTCATTCCTAAGATTGCTTTCCATCAATCGAAGTTTTAAACTGCTGTACAGAAATATTCCTATGCTATAAGGAGCATTTTCATTAATGAAATGATATGCTTTTTATTCTAAGAGTAATTCATTAAATACCAAGATAGAAAATGTGCATTTTTATCATTCATCTCTGTTACAAAATTAGAGATTGAAAATGAGCTTTTTAAACAAAATATGATTTATTTAATACTTTCTTGCTCATTAAATTAAAGATCACTAGTTTAACATTTTTGATGTCAAGAAATTTAGTTCAAAATATATTGTTCTGTTGTACTAAGCACTCCTAACTTGAATATTAAGGCTCAATTAGCATCAATAAAATATCGTTTTCATACAATAATTCTGTACCACTCTTTTAGTTTGAAAATCAAGGTTCAATNAAATAAAGTATATACCTACCTTTTATGTTAAGTTAATATATATTTTCTTTTTATAGCTATCACTTTAGTTTTTAAAATTGTGTGACCTCACGGTATGGTTTGAAATGTCATAATTCATGAACGATGTCATAGTCGCAAATGACATAGAGCACAATTCAAATGTCATAGTTTATGAACAAAAAAAAAAAATTCTCATAATAAACTAATTGCACTTCCACTTTTTAACTTTTGAGGGCGATACCGTCGACAAATTACGAATAAATGTAATTTTTGAAGAAAAAAAAAACAAGCAAACATCGAAATCACTTTTTATATGTCTAACTGTTTTAGCGTTCTAAACTAATAAGTACTTAAATACGATTCTAACAGCAACGATATTTGTATTTATTTATATATATTTTAGGTCAAAAAAAGGTACTTATTCTCAAGGAAATAGATACGAGATTTATTTGAAAAATCAAAATTTTGGTGTTTCGGTTTTTATTACTTTTAATTGACTGATATCATGAGGTATCACAAAAAGCTAATTATTTCAGAGAGATCGGAGCGCAATTATCACCGTTTCAGCCTCGTGCTATTTCCCCCCCCCCCCTCTTGAAATATGTCCTCACGACTTGAATTTCATCCATTTTTAAAGGAGAATCTTTCTCTAATTTCCACTTTCGTCTGCTTATCCTGAGGGATAAAAAAACGGTGATAAAAATGAATAATCTCATTCCTAAGATTGCTTTCCATCAATCGAAGTTTTAAACTGCTGTACAGAAATATTCCTATGCTATAAGGAGCATTTTCATTAATGAAATGATATGCTTTTTATTCTAAGAGTAATTCATTAAATACCAAGATAGAAAATGTGCATTTTTATCATTCATCTCTGTTACAAAATTAGAGATTGAAAATGAGCTTTTTAAACAAAATATGATTTATTTAATACTTTCTCGCTCATTAAATTAAAGATCACTAGTTTAACATTTTTGATGTCAAGAAATTTAGCTCAAAATATATTGTTCTGTTGTACTATTAAGCACTCCTAACTTGAATATTAAGGCTCAATTAGCATCAATAAAATATCGTTTTCATACAATAATTCTGTACCACTCTTTTAGTTTGAAAATCAAGGTTCAATTAGAGGCAAAAAATATCGTTTTCGTACAATAATTCGAACATCAATTGTGATTTCTTTACCACTGTTTTAGTTGGAAAATTAAGGCGCAATTAGAGTAAAAAAAATATCGTTTTCATACAATAATTCGAACATCAATTGTGATTTTTGTACCACTGTTTTAGTTTAAAAATTAGGGCTCAATTAGCATCAAAAAATGCCATTTTCATACAGTAATTCGAATATCAATTGCTGAATATTTTTACAGGTCTAAAATCACTTATAAAATTTATTTCGTCTATTTCGAAATAGTTATTTAACAATTTCCGATAATGCATTGTTGGCGCATTGCGCTATAAAAGATTTCCTTATTTTAAGAATTCCTTTTTATGAGAAACTCCGCATAACGTTTTAAAAGGCTAAATTTAAAAGATTAAAATATCAAATTAGAATAAAAATCCCACTGTTTTGAGTTA